TATTGCTAATCAGATTAGTCTAGTTTATATTTGGGGTCCTCTATAGTGGCGGACCTATTCACTGTCCGGTGGGGTTTTATTATTATTATTTTTTATCTCTAAACATCTTATGATATTTTTATTTTATCCCCACTAAAATTTAATATTTTCATACATGTCTTCACTTAACTTTACACTTTTACATTTTTATTATATATAATAGTTATTAAAAAATTATTGTGCTACAATTTTTCATATTTCTTTTATTATTTTTTTTTATCTAAAATAATATATTGTACGTTCCTACTGAAATGAAATGTTGATTTCGCCAAGTTCATATCAAATATAAGAATAATTGCACTTGAGGGGATATCCTATTGGTTGTGACGACTTTAAAAGCGTATATATCATGTTAAAAAGAAGTCGCATAAATTTCTATACAAGAAGGAAAATCAATATTGAATTAACTCACTTCTAAACATTTAAAAAAAAAAAAGAATAATGATAAAATTGAATTATGATGAGGGTAATTCCTATTCATTTGGTCACAAGTGAATGTCCGTGAGGGAGAACTACTTTTGATCTGCCACACAAGGACACAAATATGCTTTATCACATGCTATAATATTATTGCATATAATCAGAAAACAATGCATTCATTTGGGACAAGTGGCCCAATTTCCCTAAATATCCAATGACAAAGTTGTGACAGCATATATTTTTGTTGTACATCTTTACTCTCTTCCATCCATTTTCACAGGCGTGATTTGTAATTTAGCTAGTGACCATGAGATGATGGACCTTAAGCAGCCCAAAAACATTAATACATAAATATTTTGATAGAACACCAGTACATAATTCTTCAGCAATTCCATATGTAATTTTTATTTTAAATAAATCATAGTTTTATATTTTAGATTTTATTTATTTTAAATAGTCAACAGTTAGGATTTTTCCCATATTTTTAGGCATTATCCTTATTTTGAACATGTCATGTTGTTAGTCCTTAGTCAACATAGAATTTCCTTTCGTGATGGACCGAAAAAATTAGCCTATATATGTTTAGATTTTTGTTACTTTTTCCACTTGAATTATTTGTGAATGTTCCTAAATTATATAAAATATTACAGGTCCGTTTAGTTCGCTAATTTAAATATTTAATTTGAATTGAGATATAATTTTATGTGAGAACTTTTTACTGTAGCAAAAAAGTTAAATGTGACTATTTTTAAGAACTTTTTACTGTAACAAAACTCAAATCAATAAAATGAACGGAGCCTATAAAATGTCACGCATCGATAACAATAAAAAGGTAGTGTCATAAGAGCAATTTAAGGGGCAAATAACCTTTAAGAGTTTCTCTGTGGACTAAAAATAAATAAATTAACTGTAGTTTTTTATTTTTATTTTTTAATCTTTAAATTTATATTAAAAATTATTTATTTTATAATTTTTTTTAATTTAATATAAATTTAGCTAAATTTAACATTTAAAAATCAAAAACTCCTGAACCAGGTTTAAAGGGTCCCAAAACCCACGGGGGGGGGCCAAATTAAGAAAGGGACAGTTATAAAGCCTCCACGGCCCCCCAGGCAGTGGCAACCAAAGTGGCTGAGCTCTGATCTGATGGGACACTCACCCATTAATGCAAAACAACAAAAGGATAGGGTCCTTCAATTACTAGAGACCACAAGGAAAGTACAAATGTTTCAGCCACATAAGTTACGGAGAAAAACAAAAAAATTAAAAACAAAAACAAGAAACAAAGAAGAGAGAGATTTCTACGGGTTTAAAAAAAAATAAATTAATGTGATTATATGAAATTATTTATTATGTTTATATTTATTTTAGTAATTTTGAACAAATTTGACAGTTAAAAACGTATAAAAATAAAAAAAAAAAAGAAAACAACAAGAAAGCAGGGTGAATATTGAGGCATACCCGTGAATTGATTGCCACAGTTTTCTTTTGACACAATGTAAGATTTATCCCACAACATAATATATGCCTTCTCTTTTCATGACAATAGCTTAACTGCTATTGTGTTTATTGTCGTTTTCCCTATCTTTTTCATTTTTATTTCTTTTTTGGGGCAAAAGGTCCATCACTATAACCTAACCACAGGTACCTCAAAATTGCCCTGAAAAAAAGGTAACGTACTCGCATTAATTTTTCGAAAGAAAAATCTTTCATTTTTTTTTTTTTTTTTTTTTTTTTTTTTTTACTAATTTTGTACTTGCACACGTATCACTGTGTTAAAAATATTAAAAAAAGTTTATTATTTATCAAATGAGAAATATATTTATATAACTATTTAAGAATTTTTTAATTTATTTTAAAAGAGAATATGTATAAAAATAACAATTGACAAAAAAAGTAGGAACACATTTAAAAAAAAATTATTTTAACTAATTAAAAATAAAATAGGAACACGTGTAAAAAAAATTACTCTCATATGAGTAAAGTGAAGACAATATATTTTTAAAAGACACACAAAAAATTAAAATGTAAAAATTAAAAAAAATTAAAAAAATGAAAAAAAGAAATAAGTAGAGGGACTGCCATTAAAAACTCTTTTATATGGATTGTTAGATTAGATTGTCTCATGTTTGTGGAGTATCTGATTATGATGCAACTTAACATTTAAAAATATGCAAATTTGATAGATATGATGCAACTTAACATTTAAAAATATGCCAATTTGATAGTATTTCTCAGGAGAATAGTGAATATTATAGGGACTTTTACAGTAGGAACTATTATGTCATTCTACTCGTAGTAAGTGTTGTTTTAATTGGTAGATTAGTTTTTACACAAATTTGTTCTTATTCACAACAGTTTCTACTGATAAGGTGAAATAGCAGTTTCTACCACGCATCTTCAACGTTGAGTCGATTCGAGTTTTGTTACAGTAAAAAACTATAAAAAACAGTCACATTTAACTTTTTTGTTACAGTAAAAAATTCTTACATAAAATTACATCTTAACTCGAATTAGCGAACTAAACGTGTCCTAAGTTATGAGGCTATTATACTTGGGACCTATGAAGATATAAATGGGAAAAAAGATCGGGACAAAAAGCAATTTTGTGGCTCCAATAGAGCAAAGAGAAACATCCTGTTAAATGTGTCTTAGGGGAGTTTTATGATAACATTTGATAGCATGGAGTACTTGACGTTTTTTCTTAGCCAACCATATGTGTGACCTTAGAAAAGCCACATAATGTTCCCCCAACATGAGGTCCCAATGTTTTGAGCAAGTAGCCAAGTACCATGCAAGTGTTCGACAATTCCTAGATAATATCCATATAGACAGCCTAATTTAGGCCCAATTGCCTCATAAAACTATAAAAATCAGCCACTATCACCTCCTACATAATGTTGGAAACTTCATTTTGTAGATACTAAGGGTGTGTTTGGTAAGAGAATTTGTATCCTGATTCAAATCATGATTTATGGTTCGCTACTGTATTTTCTCTCACAAAAAATACATGTAAATCAAAAATAGTTCTAATCTCATGATTCTAATCCATGAACCAAACGTTTCCTAATTTGCTAAAATCTTGTTTAAAATGGACTTAGTTGATCCGGCCTTTATCTCCTGCTCATAGGGAAAAGCTACTTTTTAGGTTAGTCAAAATGGCTTAAGTTGATAATAAAAATTAGGAGAAAATTGCTAAATTTACTTTTAGATGCGTTTGGTTAAAGGAAAGAAATAGAATAGAATGAAATTCAAATCTGATGTTTACTTAAATTTATAATAAATAAATGATCATTTATAAGGATTGGTCATTCACTGATTTTATGTAACTCGTCATTCATTTATCACCTGGGAGGAATAATCATTCAAAGCTCTTTTTCATTCTTATACCATTACTATTTTCATTCTCATTACCATTACTATTCTCCTACCGCAACCAAACACACTTATAGAGTGCATGAGTCTGAATTTTTACTAATTATTTTTTATTAGTACTCTTTTGACTAATATAATTATTTGACTAAAAATTATACTAATCAGAGCAATACTATATGACACCGGTGGTGCTTACTACTTAGCATCATTCACTGATAAAATATGAGACCCGCGACGTGGGCCCACAAATAGGACTCATTTTCTATTATTGATGGTGCTTAACACTAATAATGTCTCTAAATATTTATTAATCAAGAGTCAACGGTAAAAATTCAAATTCCAGACCTATACACTATAATAATATTTGTCACCTTTCTCCTCTTTAGTCAAAGTCGTGGGAAAGATTTCAGCAGCCAAAGTCTTATTCAAAATTAATCTCATTCAAAACGGTTGATCCGATTTATCTCATGCTTATATTCAAAAGGAAAGCTACTTTTTAGGTTATTTAAACTAATTTTTTTAGTTAAATAATTCTAATTCCCCTGTTTCGAGTTTAAAATAAAAAATATAGATATAAAAAATACAAAATAAAAGATAAGGCCATTAAAAAAAGGGTTAACTAACTGGTTAAAGTCTCGAGATGCTTTTAAAATGTAGGGTTACATGTCCACCAAGTAGTTTAGGTAAGGAATTAGGGTTATATCACGTTGTAATGATTAATTTTGAAGAGAAAAATATAAGAGAAAGGAATTTACTCAATTCCAAGGAAAGGAGGTTCGACACAAACGGGACTAAAAGAAACAAGTTGGATTCTAAGCATAGTTATAGTCATTATAAATTGTTCATACTCCTGCAAAATAAAATAACAACTACCAAAAAAATAAAATAAAAGGAAGCAAAAGTACTCGCCATTCGACACAAATTTAGATCGCATTAACAAATATTCAACTAATTAGCAAGCAAAAACAGCCTTATTTCGTGATTACAAATATAATCTAACAGTAATTCTACACTTAATTTCATTATAAAGTGCGGACTACTTCGAATTCTGAACTCCAACTTCAAAATTAAGAGAAAATACAAAGTAAAATAAAAGGCATTATAGAACATATAACAACGAAACGACTTGAACCATTAATATATACAAGAAGAAGAAGGAACGCCAATTCTCACCAACACGATCATCAATTCAAGCCATTCATTTTCCAACATCCTCAAACAAAAAAGTTCAATTCACTCACAAGCACACAAATGCCCATCATCACCATTCTAATGACAAAACATTAATGAGCTCAAAAAGAATCAAAACACAAACACACCATAATAATAATAATAATAATAATTAATAATAATTGTTGAAAGATGAAGAAAGAAAATCTATGTTCAAGTTAAAAAGACAAGACTTGGGGTTTTTTTGGTCTTTTTCCTTTTATGAAATAGTGGGCAAAGAAGGCTGTTCAATTTCTCTTTGAGAAGGGCTTCTCCAAAACCCAGTACTGTAAAACCTCTCCCACATCTCCTTCTCCAACGCCTCAACCTCCTTATTACTACTACAACTCGCATCCGAAACGACGTCGTTTTGAACAGATACCGGATGAACCTGCACAATCTCACTCTCGTCGCCAGCGTGTCTCCGACACGGCGGCGGAAGCACGCCCTTCCTGCGACGCCGCTTCTTCCTCATCGCCCGGCGGCAAAGTCCGGCGGGGATCTTGTAGACGGCCAGCACCAGCAGGTTCAGGAGCCCGCATGGGCAGCAGCAGCACACGGCGGCGCACTCCGCCGCCGTCCCGCCGGCGACCTCCGCCAGCCGACGGGAGGATCCTCCGCTGGAGTAGGACGACGACGGCGGCGGACGTAGAAGCGGTTGCCGGCGGTTCGACGACGGGTGGCGGAGAATTATCGGCTGCTTCGACATGACGATGATGGTGTTTGATTCGAGAGAAAATCTTTCGCCGTTTCTCGGAAAAGGAAGATGAAAAGAAAAGATGATTTCTTTTCACTCCGTTGGCCTTCTTCGCATTTGGATTGAGATACCAGGAATTTCTCGGAATCAGAATTTGACTCTTCACAAGGATGAAAAAGAATACTGATCAAATCTTTTTATTTTGTTTTATTTTTCAAAATCCGATTGAATTTCGAATTCCAGCGTTGGAATCGGATCACCCAAGATTCATCTTTATTTTTCCAGAAAGAGGAATCAGAAACACAAATTCCTCCCTGGAAGACCGAGGAAGATGACGGTGATGATGAAGAACGGTGGAGCTGGGATTCGCTGTGGCCGTGCACAAAATGACACGGCCAAGCTCAGATTTTTTTTTTGTTGGGGGGAGTTTTTTTTTTTTTTTTTTTTTATGATGATTTTCTGGTTCTTTTGCTTTATTTAGGATTCCCTATAAACTCGGAAAAATATGAGAGAGAGAGAGTTTCTGTTATGGAAATTTGGGAGTAGAGAGAGAATATGGAAATTGAGGAGAGAGAGAGAGAGAGAGAGAGGGAGAAGGGCGTGTAATAGATAGTAGAGAGTACTTAAAATTTGTGAGGGATAAAAAAATAAGCTTAATTTGTGTTATTTTTTTTTTTTTTTTTAAGAAAAGAACAGAAAAACGCTTCAAGACAAGTAAACGTGAGGGCAAGCCGCAGAGCGATTTAAGATGGAGAGAGTCAATTAAAAAAATCAAACACATGGAGAATAATAATAATAATAATAAAAAGAATAATACTAAGCGCACCAATTTAAATTTTTATATGTGTATATTAACTGATATATAAATTATTATTTTTATATTAATAAATATTTAAAATATTATCACGTTAATTAATGATAATATATTGTATTTACTAATAAAAATTACATATTAAATCAGTTGATATACAAAAATTAAGATTTGAGTGTGTCGATAGCGCTACTTTAATAATAATAATAATAATAAGTAATGCACATAATAAAAGTAACATAATTGATAGGATAATCTAGAACATAATTTCAATGTTCTTTATTGTTTATTTAAATGATTATAAATAAATAAATAAATAATCTTCACAAGATGTCAATATGGATCCCGTGTAGGACTTTTCGTGCATGCTTTCACAATGCTTTTCATGCCATCCACTACTTTGATTCATACGAGCTCCATTACTTACAAATAGTTTCTTTTTTCTTTATTTCTTTTTCAAAAATTTTCCATTTTTGTTATTTTCACTGAACAAACCTTGTTTAAAAGAAAAAGAAAAAGAAAAGAAAAGAAAAAGAAACCTTACCCACTACGGTGATACCGTCACATCCCAAACGCAAAATCTTGTTTGGCACAAAATTAATGATTTGCCCGACGATACGTGCCCTTCATTTATTTCACAAAATTATTTAAAATCACTTTTTTTTATTCAGCAAAAATCAACTCTTGTTAGAGAGTTTTCCTAATTGTCTTAATTTTTAATTATTAAATTTAATTAAAATCACATTAAATTAAATATATATATATAAAACAAATAAATTTTAATACAATTTGATGGGTGAAAAATAAAAAAATTATTGACTGTCTATTTTTATAGATAATACCAGCGTCTTCTTGTTAAAAGAATACCAAGAGCCATAACTAAAAATAAAAACAAAATAAAAAAACTAATTTTTTTAGTTTGTGAGGTTAAAAAAATTTAAATTATGCGTTTATTTAGTTCACTGATTTGAGTTAAAATATAATTTTATATGAAAATTTTTTATTATAATAAAAAAATTAAATATAATTATTTTTTAAAATTTTTTTATTGTAATAAAATATAAATTTTAAATTTAAATCGGCGCCGTCTGTTTTCTCTACTTTTATAATTAAAAATTATTTTTTTCGTATTCTATTCTTCTAGATAAGCCCCCAGCAGCGAACGGAAAACTGCGTGGGCCACACCTGACGTGGCATATTTAACCACATCGATAGTAACTGATGTTCACGCGCCTTAAAGCGAGTGTACTCTGACGAAAGTACCGTGAGACTGATGTGACGTGGAGTGACCTGGGGAATTGAGAAATCCCCGTTGGCCATTTTCTCTGCGCCACGTGGCACACTGTTTCTATGGGTTTCAGAGATTTTTGACCCAGGCAATGTGAAACTAGGGGTTATAGTGGAATACGGAGCACTGGAACACTGCTCTTCTCATTAGGAGGTACTACAGTACTACCTGGCGGTTCCACGTGTGGATGTCTGGAATTGTGGGCCCAGACTGAACTAGAGCCTCTCTGATCATCAGGTGAGACATTGACTGTACGATATAAGTTTCGTTTATGTTTATTTAATTAATTTGAGTTTAAAATTTAAATTTTATTATAATAAAAAATTTTAAAAAATAATTATATTTAAATTTTTTAACGAACTAAATAAATTTTATACTTTTCTTTTAAGCCCCACTTTCTCATCTTTTTGCGATGGGTTTGTCAATTTTTGTACAAACGACAATATGTAGTACTATTATCTAACTTTGTCAACAGTCCCACATGTAATAATTGTCCATTGGAAATGTGGATTTACATTCCTTATTTCATAGGGTAGTTTCGCTATCGGTCCAGGACATGTGGTTTCACCTGTAGGAGTGATAAGACCTGTAATTACAAGTGGTGGTGTTAATGCGGCGAGATTTTTGAACACGAAGTATGTGAAGAACACGACACGTTAAGAGATTCTTACAAATACGCTATTGAACTCGTTAAAGGCTTGATAATCTACCTCATAAGTTAATTAAAACTTTATCATATTTAGTTTACCCTTTCATTTAATTTTTTAAAATTTTAATTTTACGAAATTTATCGAGAGAGATTTTATTTTAGAGTTTTCTCTCTCTCTCCCTCTTGAGTGGGCTAAAGTTTCTTAGGGCTGTTCTTTTGCCGGTTTTGAATTAGGTGATTTAAGTTTAGATTTTAAGTTGAGTTTGAGTTATAATTTAAGTTGATGTTGTAACTTGAGTTTGTGTTTAGTTGTGTACATTTGAGTTATGGTTTGAGATAAAAATCTTTTTGAGAGTTTGTATTTGAGTGAGTCAAAACTTGAATTTATATTTAGATAGTATTTTAATAAAAACTCAATACTGATGAAAAATTTTAATAGGGTATATGGATGAGGTTTTATTCGTCTTTTCGTTGTCAACGCATAGAAAAAAAATCATCTCAATCGGAATTAAAACGAAAAAATTATAGCATTTTTAAGAATAGAAAAAAATATTATTCATTACTTTGAGTTCGAGTTTCTGAACTCGAGTTGAAGGGGAAACTTGAACTCGAGTTTTAGTCCCAAACTCGAGTTCAAATTAAAAGAACATGAACTTAAATAAAGTTGTAACTCGAGTTGTTTTTTTTTTTTTTTTTTTTTTTAAATTTTTGACTCAAAAAATGAGCTACCGAACAGCCTCTTAAGAGTTTTCGCCCTCTTCAGGTCGGATTTTGGCGCTATCATTTGGCTGGTCACCGGATTTCCGGTGGTGGAAGAAAATGCTCTTTGCCTAGAAAGAGGAGTTGGGTCGTTGGGGTTCTGGCCAGTTGGATGCCACCTGCATACGCATGTGGAAAACATTATGAAACTATTATAAGTTCTACTCCTTTTATTATTGTTTAGTTTTTTTTTTAGTTAATAATAGAAGTCTTCATTCATTTTCTTAAGGCTATACACATCTTCACAAAATATAATTTGAGAAAATAAAGGATGCATAGGACATAAATTTCATGCCTTTATATTTTACAAAAATGCATGCGGTATTTTTCAAAAATAAAATAAAAATAAAAATAAAACTTAATTTCTTGCTATTTAATAGCTTATTCCAGTTGAATATAACAGATTTTGACATATACCGAAAAAAATAAAGTTAAAAAATTAGCATAATCATGTTATTTGCTAGATCATACAAATGCGTTATTTTTTCCTAATCACCTCAAATATAAAGAACAAATAGAGAATTGACAAAGGTGTGGCATCACATCTAAACTAAAAAGATAACGATGTTATACACAATAAACCGGCGAAATTCTTAAGTTTAAGATAGATTCTTAAAATATTTCACTATGGGTAGTTTGAAGACTTAACCAAATTTCAAAAAAAAAAAAAAAAAAACATCAAACAATTTCAAACCAAAGCCAATTGAAGAGCCACCTACTCATGTGTCCCAATTTACTTCAATTGCTCCAATAACTACAACTTTGAGAACCAGGTAGCTAAATCACAAGAAGTTAGGCATCACATAATGCATGCTTCAATATAAAAGGAGAAATCATGGGTGTGAAACAAATTGAATTCAGAAGTTAAAACATATGCACAAACCACCGAGCAATATGAGGGTGCGTCCATGGTCTTGTGGATATGCTCCCTCATGATTTTCTTCTTCTTGTTGTGGAGGTGCTGAGGGTGGGGAGGCTTGTGTGGTTGAGTGCTCAGCGTCAGAGATGGTGTCACGGCTATGATCGTCGGCGTGGGCCACATGGGGCGTTGGGTGGATCCGTGGTTTCGGGGCTCTATTCCTATGGTGCGGTGAAACCTTGGAAGGGCTGTGTGGCTAGGTTGGCTGCAGAAGGCGGCGACACATGGGTCTCATGCAAAGGCAAAGGGGCGTTCCTTCAATGGTGTCTTCAGCTCTGTGCATTATTATGTTCCTTAGTCTCTTTGTTTGCAGTGGTTGGATTGGCTTTGGTGATTTTTTCTGTGTTGGGGTTTCTTTTAATGGTAGATGTTTTGATTAAAATAAAGACAGCGTTGTTTCCGCTTTGTTGGTATTGTCTTTTGATGTGTATGAGTTTTAGTTTTATAATAATAGAGGTGGTCTCCCAACTTCCGACTCTGATTATGTGTCTAACCCATAAGAGTTCGTTATTTGCGGTGTTGTGTGTGTCTGTAGTGTGGATGGATGGGTGGCCTTTGGACTACAATATCATGACTCTTAATGATTATTGAGATCTTGTCAAAATGAGTGTTATGTGAGCTCATTCTTAGTGTGTCCATGTGCTTTCAATTTTCAGGCTTCCAACATATGTACTACCCATTGAAGTTATCAGATTGTGTTGGTGGGACTGGTCTCCATTGGGGGTCATGCCTTGTATTGCAGAGTCATCTTGATAAAATGAAATTTCTCGTTCAAAAAAAATTATAACTACATTCCTTTTTTTCTTATAGAGATAATATTTTGTTGAATTTAATTTGCTTGTTAAGGCTTTCAATGAGGCAATTTTTCTAATAATTTATTTTATTTTGTTAAGATTTAATGTCATTATTATGTCTAATGCTTAAATTTTTTTATTGTAAATTTGTCACTAAAGGTGCACGAAAATATTAAAGGCACAATCACAAATAAATGAGTTGTGGGTCGAACTTAATGTTATAAAATTTAAATCACAATGAGGATGACATGTTTAATAAATAGATTGACACAAACTTAATATATGAATGATGTGGCTCAATTTAAACATATCTAGTCGTATCAAACGGCGCATTCAATAAGAAGTACAAGAGTATTTCTTGAACAGTTTCACGACACATGTGTCATAAACACAATCTCACTTAAATTATACGGTTTGAGATTCCTTTAT